AAACCTTTAGTTATACTTAATTTTAATTCAGTTTAGTTATTCTGGTTTGTTGTAACTTTCTTCGTCACCATTGAGCTTGTTTTGAGAGTTTAAAATTGAACTTGACGAAGGGAATATTAAACAACAGGCCATGAGATTAAGTAATATGAAATTAGATTTAATCTAATTTGCTGTAGGGCAGACATATACCTAGATGCTCTTCATAATCAATTAGCGTGAATTAGGTAATTTGCTCGTGTGAGATATTACATGATTAATTGAGGTAAATTTATAAGTAGATCGACATGCATTTATAATTATTAAAACTCTAGATTAACTGATTAAATTTAATTAATTCAGTGGAGATAAAATCTGAGAAGCAGACAGTACATTAGTACCTCAAAGTTGTTTTTTTCTTTTTTAATATTTGCATTTGTTAATTTGATAACACTTATTTTATTTAATTTAATTACACTTCAATCAATTCAAACTCAATATTAATCTTTTCAGCTTAAATGAAACAAGAATTTTTATTGTCTAATTGCTTATGGTTAGCCAAGTTGTTTGTGGGATCAGTTTTAATTTGGCACTATCTATTTTTAAGTCATGTACACTTGCGGTATCTGTATATAGTTATAACTTATAAGGCAAATGTGCTATCTTTTTAGCATTGTCCAATTACGTCCAAATATTATGGGAGAGTAAAATACATACAAACACATGTATTGTTGATTAATACCACTAATATATATGATGGTTTTCCATACTTTATCTTGGGTTTTTAGCATTATAATATGTCTTAATTATAGTGATTAGAGATTATTGTGCCTGAAAGACCAACAGTATAAACAGATGACAGCCTCGACTGATCAATCCGCGACATACCCATTCACACACACACGCACACCCACTTGTTCGAAATTTCACTTGGACTCCCTTGGTTTTTCTCAGTCTCACACATCTCCATCTCGATCTTCTCCCATTCTTCGCCTTCATCTTCATCGTCAATGGCTGCTATGGTAGAATTGCATCAGAGCCATTGTACGTGGAACTTCATCCAAGCCCATGAGTAGCTAATCGATTAGGCCAAGTGTTTCTGGTGAGCACTTCTCAAAGGAGGGCATGCTAGGTTTAGTTATTGTAATACTATCTCCGGTCTTAATTATAAGATCTCATTTATAGTGAGATCTTATAATTAGAATTTGAAATAGTACATAATTCAACCACTGGTGACAAGTGAGATTGTTATATACTCCTCCGGTCCTAATTATAAGACCCAATTGACTTATTTGAGGAGATTAAGGAAGTAAGTTAAGTTGGTTATTTATAATAAATAAGTGTTGTCATTCCTAAAATATCCTTGCTATTTAAGTATATTGGCTAAAACTATCATTATTAGAAGGATTATCTTGGAAAAAAATGCATAAATATAAGAGATAAAATGGATTGGGATCTATAATTAGGACCAAAAAAAAGTCAAATTGGGTCTTATAATAAGGACCGGAGGAGTACTTCCTAAATGTGATCCTCTATTAAGACCTTTTGAAGGATTTTTTTAATCTTATTTATAAGGGAAAAAAACTCCAGTTCAGATTATTGATTAGTTTTTCATTAAAATGAAAATTAGATCAATTATTTAAAAACAAACACTTAATTATTAAATGAAATATTTTGGGTAAAGAAATTTACAATTTTGACATATTTATAAAAACCCAACTGACCTTAACTACCTTTCTTAATTTTAAAAATTAATTATTCTTCTCTTATAAAAAAAAGTGGAGGATTTGCAGAAAATTAAGAATAAAGAAGTGTTAAAAATAGGCAGAAACATAATATAAAGACAATAGCTCTCTTATTTTTCAGTTCTTTGGATATAAAACTCCATTGACAAATTCTTCGAGATTCTTCTTTGCCCTCAGCCATGTCATCCAGAGCTCAGGATATATAATAATTCTATTAGCAGGGGCGATCACTTCGTTTTTTGGGTGGCCATATATAGGAGCAATGATTACCTCAAAACAAGCATTTTACTAATGCTATCCACTTACACACGTGGGTTTGAATTAACTGTAGGAAGGATAAACTTTGGATAAAATTTATTGGTAAAATAAATTGTCTTGAATTATGATTCATTAAATGATTATGAAATGATTATAACGATTATTGAAACTTTTTTTAACAGCTTATGGCTAAATCAAAATTTCAACCAATCTCAACAAGCAAAAGTTGTCACTAAGGCTATTATATTAAATATTATTAAATATTATATTTAATTTTTTTATTTGATTAAAATATTTATTTATAATATCCATTTTGTATAAAAAATAAAATTAATACAATATTATTTTATATTTTTTTTATAATTATTTAAGCTATTATATTATTTATTTTAGTATTATATTTTATAATTATGTAACATGAGAATAGTATATAAAAATAATAAAATTGAATTATAAATCTTTATCATGACTATGTAACTCAATCTCCACACACATAATAATATCTCACTCTCATATACACTCATTCCTTCCTCCTTCCCTCTCTCTTGCTCTTACACACACACCATATTATTTCTCTAACCTTTTCTTTCTCTCTCTTTAACACAACAACATGGAAAAATACTTTTTTTGTCATAACAAATCATATTTTTTTTTTTAAAAAATTAAAATAATAATAATAAAAAGTAAAATAGACTTGTGTCACTGTTTAAAACTGCAGTAGTTAAAAGTCCTTTTTAATGGCAACATTAAGTCGCTACTGAATACTTTTAGCGGCGACATGGTTATGAGACTTCATTGCTGAAAGTCCTTTAGTGCCATCTTTCTTTATGTGCAAGTTCTCATTTTTATGTGCAAAGTAGTCTCTTGTATCCAAATAATGTTTTGTGCATATCATAATTCCCTATATGCAACCCAACTTCTTTTATGTGCAGCTTATCTTCCTTTATGCAACTCATCATTTTAGAAACCATTTGTTAATTAATTTTCTAATGAGGGATTTGCTACCAATTTTTTTCTTAATCAATCCTCAAATTATATAATGAAAATGATTTCTTAATTAAATGGTGGTGAGTTTCAGGGGCATTAGATTATTAGAATTATTTCTTGGTAGAAACCCCTAACAACCAACAACAATATTTTAAAATAATAAAAAATAAAATAAATTAAAATATAATGTTAAGAACTAAATTTAACATACAATTAGTTTTAATATTAAAGACGAGGCTAATATTATTGTTGAGTAGTGCTATGGGGTCCTAGTCATACCGGGTTTGCTAGCTGCCTTTTGAACCATGTGATTGCATTAAAAAGAAAAAAAGTAGGTAGAAAGAGGAATATAGAAAGATGAGGAAAGAGGGAGAAGAAAAGGATGGACTTCCCTCCAAATACGCATACGCTCATCATGGTAAGAGTCAATGTCTAAAGTCATATCATTTATTTTGAGTATGATTGAGGTGACGAAATCTAACGAACCAGGACGCTGCTATCTATTTAGACTCTTGACAAAAGATCACTCTCTGATCATTGATTAACACTTTTGGAACTACGTGGAAGATGATGTCAACTTGCATTAAACATTAGTTATATTCAACAACCATGTTCCTTTCACGCAAGAAACACAGAAGACGACAAAGAAACTCGTTTGTATTGCGTGGGGATGAGTGGGAGGAAAAACGGGTGATGATATTGTGACACTACCGCCCCTCTTTATCCTTTCCAGGGGCTGCTTCTCCGATGTGGCCCCAGGCCGCCATGGACGTCGCCTTCCAACACGTCGGTATGTAGGGATATTCTTTATCAAGAATGGAAAACTATTTTTGAGATCACTGACCAAAATAAGAAACCCCAATTGTTCTCAAGGAAGAATATAAATATTAGTTTAGTTTTATTTGGTAAAAAAAGGTAGCTAGTTATGTGTGTATATCTATAATGCGAATTGGTTTTATTAAGTTATCTCATTTAATCATTTGTACTAAAAAAATACTCCTTTTTTGATTCTCTTTATATTACTTTTAACATATTCTACAAAAAAAAAACAGTCATGAAATAAAATGAGACATATATACAGGCCATACAAAACATAATAAGAGGCCTATATTGTGTAGATTCAGTCTGGAGTTCATCCTTATGAGCATTAATTATCTCGACTTTTCACATAGTGATTCATTCTGTGAGAATTATTAATTTCATCCCAACTTTTTCTAAGACCAAATCTTTTCAACTTTCTTCGACCCAAATCTTTGTTGGGACCCGTTTTGTGTGCAATACTGAAGGGTTGTTTCATAATCCGTCGAACTAGGCCCAAAGTTTTAACGTTTTCATGTGTCGTTTATGTTCAGCTCATCAATTTGGAATACAGATCAGTCGGCTTTGAATTATAACTGCTCAACTTGGTCCTCCTCAAAGAAACTTCTTAAGATTTAACTGAATCTGAAATGACATCGAAGTTACCTTGAACAAACCTTGAAATGACTTGGAAGAGATGGCGATGTAGAAGATAAGTCTATGAGAATTCCTTACATAAATCGCAGCCTAAAACAACTCGGAAATTTCTCAGAACTTGCATTTCACATCAATTATATATGCAGCCTGTACTTTGTGAAAGAAGCAAGAAAGCCATTTGAAGTTAAGTTCTTCATTAACAGAGGCTTCTCAAGACTTCCCTTTTCTGGATCATCAAAATGTCCCAACAAGAAAGCGACAAATAAGCATTCTTTATGAGGCATCAAAGAAAGGGGACGTATCAATGTTAAAATCATTGGTACGAGAAAACCCGCAAATCTTCCACAAAATTTCACTTTCTGACTTCGCTGAAAGTCCTTTACACATTATATCTTCTCTTGGCCACCGTGAATTCACAGAGCAACTTCTCACTCTCAATCGCAAACTAGCCACTGAGTTGGACTACTCCAATAGGACAGCCCTCCACTTGGCTTCTGCAGAGGGTCACATTGAAATTGTGAGGAAACTGGCAGAAAACTGATAGTGATCCATGCTTGTACCCTGATGACAAAGGAAGAATTCCTTTGTACTATGCGGTGATGAGAGGGCGAGTAGAGGTTGTGAGAGAGTTGATCAGACTGAAGCCACAATCTCTGGATGTTCGTGACAAGGGGGAGACGATGTTCCATTTATGCATTAAGCACAATCGCCTCGAAACCTTGAAAGCCTTAGTAGAACTGGAGCTTCGCACTACCGGCAAGCTTCTCAACTTCAATAGTACTGATCGCGCTGAGAATACCATTCTCCATTCAGCTATCATGCTGAAGCAAGTTGAGAGGTACTCTTTACTCTTTAGTGATTTGTAAAAGAAGTAAAACTGCAAACTGTTTGGTTCTTGATCGATGTTGGTGGTGTTTGAAAATCACAATTTACTACTCAATCATATTTAGTTCCGCCACGCACAATATTCTGACACGTTCACTATTTAATCAATCAGACCGTAAGGTACCTCCTTTCAATACCTGAAGTGAGGCAAAAAGCAAAAGCAAGGTTGAAGAACAAGCTTGGTTTAACAGTCCATGATATTGTGGAGCTTGTTCCAGATGACTTCAAGACCCTCGAGATACGAGGCATGTTGAACGGAACTGAGCCTACAACCTCAACTCCTGGCATCAAAACTACTCATCAGCGCAACGGTTGGAGAGAGATTCTTGGGCTTGTGGTACACATATTAAGTGATAACGACACTAAACGGCTAGAAAAGATGAGAGGGAATTTGAGTCTAGTGGCTACAATGATCGCAACTATAACCTTTCAAGCTTTGATTAACCCTCCTGGTGGTTTTGTTCAGCAAGCTGTGGCTCCAGGTGAGGATCCCTTCGGTTGCTTATTTGATGAAGAAAATTACGTACTAGCATGCCCTGGAAAAGCACTTTTAGCTGTTAAATCTCGTTCTGCTTTTCGTCGCTACCAAAGGTACAATACCATATGTTTCATTGGATCTCTGTGTATCACCCTCATACTCGTAAGTGGAGTTCCTTTGAGGCATAAACAACAGTGATATGGGTGTTATCTGTTGGCACGTGTATTACTCTCACATTCTTAACACTCACGTACCTTCAAGCCCTCTCCATGGTGAATCCAAATTTTTCGCTTCTCGACTCACCCACTAGAGTGATTTCCGGATCACTTTTGTTTTGGTTTGGGATGCTTGGGATTGTTGTTGCTGTGTTGTCCACATTGCGCTTCTTATTTTGGGTCATGATCAGAAAGAGGAAGAAGCTCAACTGGCTGTTGGATAATATTTTGTCATGTCCGAGGAGCGGAATCCAAAATGCATGATGCTGCCAGTGAATTAGATGCCACATTTTGCCATGTCTCTTCTCCTCCCTCTGTGGCGTCTTTCTTCTACTTCTCTCTGAAAATTAATCTTCTGCTGCTGTGTTATTTACTTCAGTATCTTATTTTCATTCAGACTTGTGTCAGATATGTGTTCTATGAATTTCAATGATTATGAGATCAGAGCTCAGTTATTCTGATACATGGCACGTTTTCTAACTGTGCTCTGCAAGGATTTTTTTCCCCCACAAGCCGCCAGGTTCAATTATAGTCATTGTACTGTGAATTGTATGATTTGTAGATTTTAATTTATAGGTGATCTGATTGTGATTGAGTCTCCGTTCACTGGAAGATACAAAAATAATAACTCATTATAAATTTAATTGGTATTGTATTTTTTGGGGGGGAGTTACTGAAGTTAACTGCCCTTAATTTGTCACTTTGGGGTTACTCCAAAAATTAACCGAATTAATGCAATATAATGCACAATCCGGGTCGTATTCACTTTGAGGAATCGAAAATGAAATTAAATCCTAGTAAATAAATGCAAGTAACCTAAACTATAAAAAGAATTTTTGATTTTGAAAAATTGCTAACTAAATGCCTTGAATTAAATTGAATTAAAATACTTTTTTGGTTATTTTTATATAAAAATGATTGAAATAAATTGAAGATGAAAGAACTGAAAATGAAACACACAAATAACAATGATAATAATCAATTCTCCAATTCAACAACGCAGGCAATCCTCACTCCAAAAGATATGGGAGTTAAAACAATGAATTAAGAATTATAATTAAGCTTTTAATCTAACAACCGAGCTACCTCGAATTGCCACAAAATATTTTCTCAAAATCCTAATTTACTAACTGCAACCAGAATAGCAAAATAAAATTAAGGATGCTAAAAACCAATGCTTAATTAAAATTCTTAAATCCAAAATAATAGAATTAAAGCTAGCAAAAGACAATATGATCCAAGATTCCAAGCCACATCAGAAAATCACAATATATTAACTCCAAAATCAATACAAATGTCATAACCACAACATCATAATTGAAATCAAAGCTATAAATAACTCCATGTCAAATGCTAAACAATAATCCAGCCACAATAATCTCCACAGATAATCAGATTTAACAATACAAAACTTTCTAATAATCAGAAGAATAAACTATCCTAAGACCTAGGAATTGTTAAACAATTATTAGACAGGAAATTAAAGTAACTAAACTCCCCTTTGATGATCCAAGCTCCTGCCATTGTTGGTGGATTAGAGAATCATGAAATTAGCCACGGTTTGCCATCGAAAATGCCACCTCCAGCAGTCTACCATATTTAGCCATGAAGAATATCGAGGAAGAGTGAAGAAAACCGCCAGCTCCCTTGGTCTGCGTCTGCCGTCACTCTGTTTTCTCCCTCTCTCAACTGCCGTCCCGCATGTGTGTGTGTTGACTGTGTTGTCTCCGTCGAGTGCCCCCTACCACCAGGAAGGTTCAACAGAGAAGGAGCTTAATAGAGATAGATCGAGCTCTCTCTTCTCTCTCCTCACCGCCTCTAGCTCGCATCGTCTGGTGTTCGTGCTTCGGTCCCCACCTCCGGTCCTTCTCCCTTCAAGATGATGATTAATTGAATATTAGGTTGGGGCAAAACGTCCTATTATTATTATTATTTCTTTCCTTTTTCTTTTCTTTTTTTTTTCTTTTTTTAAATTTTGAATCTTCCAAGAACCTGCAAGTAAAATTCAAGGATAAGGTAGCATTAATTATCCTCAAAAATCAATTAGTCACAATTAAACCAAAATATGACAATTTTGCCCCTATAAATAATAATTCAAAATAAAACATATTAAATCAATTAATCAATCAATTAAGGTCAAAAGGGACTAATTAAGTTGACAAAACCCATATAAAGATATCAAAATATATAAAAATAATTGAATTTTTCAGTTACTGATATTAATATTGACGATATTGAATAATGTTCATAATAATGATGTAGTAACTACATAATATTGATTTTTATTTTATTATAGTTACCAATTACGTTATAAAAAATTTATACAGGATGCAATATTTAAAAATACCAATACCAAAATCAAGTCAGCATTTCTACTTTTAGCTAGGTCGGGTTTCTAATTATAATGTTCACATACGCAACTATTCCATTGGTTAGATGAAGGCAATAAGTCCAAGTTGAAAATTCAACTATGTTAAATACTTCTCTTCTTTCAAGCGTCTTGTTTCTTATCAAAAGTGATTATATAAATAATTAAGACGTGCATGGTTCCCTCAGTAGTCAGAACTCAGAAGTCATGAGACAAAGGGGAGATGCCTTTTTGATATACTTTGAAGTTGTGGCACTTAAAGGATAACACAAGAGAGGAGAAATGGAGACAGAAACCTAATATAACATGCAGATGTGGATGCAGTCACTTTATTTGTATGCACTTTTTCTTTAAAACATCAAAAGTAGGATCGCAGGGGCTTTTCATATTTTCATCCCCCCCCTTTGTTATGCATTATCAAATCTACTTTTCAAAGTTTCATTGTCTCTATATTTCACGGAGTGGAAGAAGAAATTGCAAGTATTCTGACTGGCATAAGAGTCCATTTCTTATTTTTATGCATAAAACAAATCAATTCATTAGACCAAGACACTAATCTTTAGGTTGAAAGTTCAGCTACAGTAAACCATGAACAATGATCTTATGGCTTGATGCCATGCGAAGAAGAATATCTCCATTTAGGTTTTTCTCTACTTTCTCTCTATTACTATCTCTACCATTAGATTAATATCCAGTTGTTGAGATTTAATATACTACAACAATATTATGATAATATTAAATAATAATAAATATATATATAAATAACTTTAACCTATATATAAATAAATACTATGATATTATTATAACCAGACGGAACAGGATAAAAAAATTGTATATAGTATATTATTCACGTGTATAAAAATTTAATAACACACACACATCTCACAATAACATAGATATACGTATATTATTCACATACCCATACGCATGCATGATTTAATCCACCTAAGTTGTTGTTATTTAAAAAATTCAATTAAATTCTTCCAAAAAGAACTGATAAAGACCCTGTCACAATCAGACACAATAGACCGAGGGAACCCATGTAACTTAACAATAGTCTGAATAAAAACCCCTACAACTTGCTAGCTAGTAAAGTTTGTCTTTAACAGTTTCTGAACCAAATCAATATGTTCATGCGATACGACCAATCTATTTTTCCAGAACAATAAACCATTTTTAACAGAGTGCTCAGGCATGGAAAGAGGATCATTAATGCATTGTGCAATTAATCCTTGAATTCAATCTGAGGAGTGAACCCCCTGAGTGATCTCGGTCAACCAGTCTGACTACACCTGAACCAAGGCTATGCATGTGACACGAGACAAAGCATTTGGTGCTTTATTCGTTTTTCCTGGTTTATATTCTATCATAAAATTGTACCTAATCAGCTTAGGCAAATAAGACTCCTGCTCTGGAGTCTGTATGACCTATCCCTTGTAAGTGTTTCTGACTTTCCTGGTCAGTCCTAATATAAAATGCTGCCCAAATACATAATGACCAAAATTTAGCCACAGCCTGAGTGATAGCATATATTCCCTGACATATGCAAATGTGCTTGCATCCTAGGAGAATTGTGTTGGAAAAGTAAGCTATTGGGTGTCCATTCTGACTTAACACAGCCCCAGTTTTGCTACTTGATGCATCAGTCTCTATCACAAACATTTTATTGAAATCTAGTAGTGCCAAGGTAGGTGCCTAGGTCAAAGCTTCTTTGAGCTTATCAAAAGCCTCTTGCGATTCATTAGTCTATGTGAACCCATCTTTGTACAACAACCATGTCAGAGGACTGGCTATACTCGCATACTGCCTTATAAACCGACAGTAATAGCCGGAAAGACCCAAGAAACCTCACAGTTGAGCAACATTTCATGGCCAGAGCCATTGTAACACTGCCACAACCTTCAGGGGATCCATTTCTACCCCCAACACTAATATGACATGCCCTAAATATTCAACCTTGGTTCGACCAAATGAACACTTTGACATCTTAGCAAGAAGCTGATGCATCTCCAGCAGTCTCAAAACTTCTTCTACGTGTTGTAGATGCTCTTGCCAATCAGAGCTATAAATCAATATAATCAAAAAATATCAAACTTTCTTAAGAAAGGTTTAAAAACCAAATTCATTAAGGTTGGGAAAGTTGCTGGTGCATTGGAGAGATCAAATGGCATTACAAGCCATTCATAAAGTCCTTGGTGAGTTCAAAATGCAGTCTTGTCTCTGTCCTCAGGCTTCATCAAAATCGGGTGATAGCTCAACCTTAGATCTAACTTGGAATAAAAAATTGAACCACCTAGTTCATCCAACAATTCATCTACAGTAGGCATAGGAAAGAATCTTTTACCGTCACAGCATTCAAGGCTCTATAGTTAACACAGAACCTCCATGTCCCATCCTTCTTCTTAACCAAAATTATAGGAGCAGAGAAAAGGCTAGTACTGGGTTGTATCAACCCTTCATTAAGCAATTCCACACCGTCTTTTCTATTTCAACCTTTTGTGAAAAAGGATACCTGTAAGGATGCACCTTTACTGGACCTGTGCCTTCTTGTAACACTATTCAGTGTTTGTGATCTCGAGGGGGTGTGGCAGCTCTTGTGGTTTAGCAAATACATGGTTTGACTCTCTTCTACCTTGTGTAAGTGGAGCATGAAACACTCCTTGACCGCATCGGTGTGAATCATCCTCCGTAGCTGATGAAATCTAGCCTGAGTCACCACAGTGCCATTAGTACCCTGTAAGGTAATAAAATTGCCTTCCATGTAAAACTTGAGATATGACTCCCCCACAATATAATTAGTAATGTGTAGGCCCAGTGTCGCGAGCCAAGAGGCGCCAATAACCAGATCCGAACCTGCAATCGCCAATACATATGTAGGAAATTTGAGAATATGCCCTTGAATTTGTACTGACAAATTCCTAATTAGTCCTTCCCCCTTCATAGCATTACCATCCCCTATCATTACTTTAACATTTCAAGTCTACTCTACTGGTAATCTCAAATGTGTGTGTTATTGTGGGGTGTATGAAGCTATCTGAACTCCCCCATCTAGCAAAATTTGCACCGTAGTGCCCTCAATCACCCCTTCAAAACAGATGGTAGCTTTTCCTGGTGATCCTCGATAAGCATGAATGGACAGATGATGAAGCAAAAACCCCTCACCATCTAACTCGAGCCCTGCTTCTTGAGCGTTCACCAATTCTTCTAAGCCCAGCCCATCGTCTGTCTCATCACTCACAATCAGCATGTATTGTTTATTCAGGCAGCGATGGCTTGGTGAAAACTTGGCATCACAGGTATAGCAAAGTCCTTTCTCTCTTCGGAATATCATCTCTACTGCGCGACATTTTCTTTACTGCAGACAATGGCTTCACGTTTGGGTAGGTAACACGACTAAAGATTAAAGCAAAATTAAAAAGGTCAAGCAAGGCTATTTAAAATTCATACAGGAAAATGGTCGTTGATTAAATTATGCATGTTTAAGTTCATTTTCCAAAGTCTTCTTGGGTGAGCTCAAATTAGTTAATGCTGGTGTTCTGATGGTTTAACACTTCTTTTCTCCCTATTGATGAAACACGTGAAATAGTTTAAAACTTAAAAAGGTAACCTTTGGATGGTCGAGAATATATTAATAAAGAAACCATTGAGACTGTCCTGTGTATAAAAAAAGCCAGTAAGGACCGTCCTAATAAATTGGACCACTAGTTATTCTCAACTGGACATGGTCCACTAATCCTACACAAAATTAACTCGAGGGCGATCTTCACTGAAACTCCCTTACACATATCAGCTTTACTTGGCCACCTTGAATTCACAAAACTCCTTCTTACTCACAAACCCAAACTTGCCCTTGAGTTTAACTCCTTCCGAAGCACAGCCCTTCACTTAGCTTCTGCAGAAGGCCACATCCACATTGTGAAGGAGTTATTGCAAGCTTGTGACCGTGCTTGCTTGATCCCTAATCAACAAGGTAGAATTCCATTGCATTATGCAGTTAGAAGAGGGAGAACAAATATCGTGTTCAAGCTAATTAGTGTAAAGCCAGAATCACTGTGGAGCCTTGGTGAGGGGAAAACTGTTTTCCACTTGTCTGTGATGTACAGTCACTTGGAGATTCTTAAAGCTTTGATGGATTTCGACATCGACGCTCGCATGCTCCTCAGTTTGAGAGACTTGGATGATAACACTATTCTTGATTTGGCTAGCATTGAAGCAAGTTGACGTAATTTTTCCAACTTTTGTGCTATTTTAAAGCTTGCGCTCTATTACTGCATTACTGATCATAAATTTTTGCTGTATTATTACTGTGTAGATCATAAGGTTCCTCCTTTAAATTCCAGCAATAAGAGAAGCTGCAGGCGTGGAAAATGAGACGGGTTTTACAGGTCACAAGAAAGTCTCCAAAAGCCTTCACATGCAGCTCATGTTGATGAAATCTGGCATAAAAAAGATTCAAGACAGCAAAATGGAAAGTCCTCTGCACCCTCCACCTTCAACGACTATCCCACAAAAGGGTGGAGAAAGATTATAAAGATCACGGAACATAACTTGAAGCATAATGGGAATTGGTTAGAAGAGATGAGAGGCAATTGAGTCTGGTGGCTACAGTCATCTCAACCATAACCTTTTCAAGCTGTAAATAACCCTCCTGGTGGTTTCGTCAGCAATGTATAAATCCAGAAGATCATGATGATCCACTTGGATGCTTTAAATACAAAACTGGTGGCAAGGCATGCCCTGGCGATGCAGTATCAGCTATTAATACCCACCTTATTTTCATCCCTACTTAAAGTACAATACCATAGCTTTCATCTCATCTCTCACTGTCGTCCTCATACTTCGTAAGTGGGTTCCTCTCAAGCATAAGGCTGTGATGTGCATATTGTCGATTGCTACGTGGATAATCTCACGTTCTTGACACTCACCTACATTAATGGCCTATACATGGTAACCCCAGATGGTGAACTTTTTGACTCAGCTTGGAAGATGGTTAGAGTATCACTGAGGATTTGGATTGGCTTCCTTGGGGTGGCTGCTCTGCTTATAGCATGGCGCTTGATTATTTGGCTAGGCAAGAAAAAGTTGAGAAAATCCAAGCGTCAGATTCATCCTGGCATCGGCAACGACAGCATATGACGCCAGTGTTTTCTCATGAGAACCATAATAGTTAGGGATCTTTAGAATATGTTGTCATAGTCTTGGGCCAAACATAAGAATTGATGCTTCGTTCTACAGTGATCTGAGTTAGTTTTACTTAATCAGAAGTTTTAAATGCTCTGACATTGCCACAAGATTTTAATTTCCTGATGTCGATTTTGTAAGTGGGAGTTGGTAATTGATTGGAATCCGGCATTAGACCTATTACATGATGAATAATGTCAAAAACTGTTGAAGGGTTTATTGTCATGAGACGTGTTGTTACATCCTTTAAACAAGAGAACTTTTGAAGGGTTTTTCTTTATGTTATTTGTGGAAAAACTGTTGTTTTAGATTATTTATTATTGTTTACCTCATTAAAAAATATTTCTTCAAATAATCAGTTATTAAAAGTCACTATAGTCAATTATTAAATGAGAGTATTGTGGTAAAGAAATTTACATAGGCAACATATTTATTGAATCCAACTGACTTTAACTGTATTTCTTAATTTTAACAACTAATTATTAATCTCTTATAAAAAATTAGAGAATGTGCAGAAAATTAAGAATGAAGAATTATTCGGAATAGAGAGAAAATAGGCTTTTTATTTTTAAGTTATTTGAATAAAGCTCCATTAACAAATGATTGGAGAGCTATCAGCCATCATCCAAGAGCCCAAGACACATCCACATCAATTCAATTAAGCAATGAATGGGCTTCGCATTAATGAGGAGCAGGAGGAAATTACTAGTGGGCCAAAATATGATAGTACTCGGCTTAGGAAGCATGAACCGTCATGGATAGAGATATTAAAGAATTTACGCAGAATCATTTCTCTCTTATTAAGAATTAGGTCTAGTGGAAGGAGTTAGTTTCTTACAAATTAACAAACTAATGTTTGAATTCTTACTGAAAGAGGTACCCATATTAGTACCCGATAGTGCCTCAAACAGGATTGTTTCCAATAATAAGATACATGTGCTTAATAAAAAAACAAACTAAATTACTAATTTGGAGATTCAAAGTAATGAAAAATTAGTTAACTAATTTAGACCATGCAAAACTGAGCAATGAATCTTAGAAAAATTTCATTTTGAATGGCATGACTCCTTCGATTTTTTCGTTGGCATCTGAGTTGTCTCCCCTCCTCTTTCAATTGACACACTCGACATTGATAGTTCCGGTGGCCCTGGCTTCTGCCTCTATCAGGCGGCGACAGCCCCCACCTCCACGGCCACAACATGGAGGAGCAGCTCCTTAATCCGCATTACAACAAAAAAAGAAATTTCTCCAGATCGATATCTAATGGCAAACTGAGGAAGTAGATGTTATGTGATTTTTCTAAGATATTTATATGTATTATTAGATTATATATCAATTTATAAATGAAGCAAATTAGTTTGAAGAAAAATAAATATAAATATTTTTAAATAATTTAATAATTTTGTAATTTTTTAAATGAGCTAATAATTAAATCTTATATTGATGACAGGGGGTAATAACAACAATAATAATAATGCCTCCCTAATAAAGTATTAACCTAACCAATATTATTGTTGAGTAGTATAAATTGTAGAGTCCCAGCAATACCGGGGTCAAGATAGCGTTGTGATTAAAGATAAAGAAAGAGCATTTTGTTAGGCATGTGATGCGTTGTCTCCCAATGATTATATTTTATTGCTTTTGTAAATCAATAAAACAAGTAACAACTTGTATGTTACAGGAAGATGCATGAGGGTGCTCGCTGATATTTACTAAAACTATCTTGATTTTATATGGATTATTTAAATAAAACTGAAATTACAGGCGGAACGGGACACCGATGGTCACTGTTTTAAGTCAAGTCTAATAATTATACTTTTAAAATGATTTTCCTTTTTGGAAAAAAAAATTGTCCAGTGTTCAACCAGCTGCATAAACGTTCAAACTTCAAGCCTGCTTAAGTAAGAAACTTCACCCTTCCTCCCCCAGGCACTTAGAGCTATCGCCTCGAACTCGAACTCCCTCTCCAGTCTCCAATCTCTCCCTCCTCCATCCTCTGGTCAGTCCTCGGTCTAGTCTCTCTCTCCTAGCTTCCCTTTTCCCTCCTAACTCCTTAATTCTCATTCAGTCCTAATTTCTGAAATTAGTCCAAACTTGCTTGCCTATAATAACTTGGTCCCCTTTCTTGGATACCTCATCCCCCAAACGGCAGCGTTTTGGGATTAGCTAGGTACTTCGTTTTTTTTTCCCCCTTAAGTGCAAATTTATTCCTGCTCTTACTTTTCAGACGCAACCAACACTGAATCTTTTTAGCAGTACAACTTTACTCATAATCTTTTTCTTTGTGCAACAAAGATTAAGGGTAAAGTTGTATCTGGGTAAAATTGCACCTTAAAAAGGGATTATGAGTAAAATTGCACTATTAAAAAAATCGTGGTGCTAAATATACCTAATAAATAAGGTCAGGGATAAATTTACACATTTACCTTTTTTTAATGTTTTGAACTTTTTATTAATTTTTATTTTTTCTTACTTATTTGGGTTAGGTTGTATTTTACTCCCTAAATTATTTTCTTAGTAGCACCTAGTATCATAAAAGATTGTTCAGTATTAGTCAATATTTTCAATTAATTAATTTTTGATGCATCTAGCACACTGAGTTATTTTCTTAATAGCACTCAGTATTCTAAACTACTTTTTTATGCATGAAACACTCTAGTATCTTTTCTAGCAGTACTCAGTATCCTAAGCTTAAGGTGTTCATTGCTACTTGATAGAATCAAGAATTAATTTAGAATACTGAGTGCTGCTTAAAAAAATACTTTATGTATTATACACATA